CCTCCAACCAGCTGGAGATGGAAACAGACAGCTGACAGTGTACGTGTCTCGCTGAAGACGAACTCCTAGCTTTCTTTCTCTGACCGACCGACCGACAACATCGTTCGACTGGACAACACCGACAACCTGGTTCCCCGGTATGATTTACAAACCCGTCGACTGTCTGAGTGCGTTTTGTTGTGTTTTCTTAATTTGTTTTACAAACCCCACCCCTCCTCTTTGTATATAAAAGTAGTTTGAAGATTTAGACTCCTTGCAGATGGCATGTAAAGGTTAAATCAGAGATAAAGTCTGCCTGGAGTGTGTTTTTTTTAAAGGCATGGTTTGTCTTAAATGTTTGTGATTCATGAGATTATTCCAGCGAATTGTTTAAAACTCCCACAGCTGCAGACACACAGTCTTTTATGTCTGAATTATATTATGTTTATCACATTGTTGACTTTATTTAACTTCTGTGAAGTGGCTTTAATTTTAGGGTCCTTTTCATGGCAAAGCAAAGAGGAAATATTTGTTGTTAATTTAACTTTATTTGAGTAGTTAAAGCTGACAATTTCTCTTATCAGACAATAAGAAATTACTATTTTATTGTTTGTAAGAGATTTCTTATGCTAAAAGAGCTCCTTTGTCCTTAAATAATGTTTTTGTTGTTGTTTTCCTTTGATTAATTTTCCTTTATTTTGTTTCGTGTGGTGAGAATTTCAAAGTTTTTGTTTGTGTGTGTTGTCTTGAAGTACTTTTACTGAATTTCTATACTTAAGTATACTTTTGAGGTATTTTCCTTCTACTCCACTACATTTCAGAGGGAAATATAGTACTAGTACTAGTTTATCTGACAGCCTTATGTATAAAAAATATAAAACTTTGAATGGAGACTTTTAGCACAATAAGTACATTTACTTTTGAAACTTTAAGGACATTTTCTACTAATACTGATATTAGTCGAAAATTATACTATATTTTTACTTTAGTGGGATTTTTCAATTCAGCACTTCACTTTCACTTGTAACAGAGTATTTTTTTCAGTGTGATATTCCTGCTTTTACTAAAGTAAAAGTACTTCTTCCACCGCTGTTGTCTCGTTTACCAGCTCATGTTATTTATAGCAGGAGGTCTGACTGCAGCTGTTGTGTCTCTCTACATTTCAGTGGCTTAGCAGCTGCTGCGTGTTTGTGTGTGCATTTGGATTAATCACATTGCGAGGACATCCATCTTTTCACACACTCATATTGTGGTGACTGATTTTCCATTTGGGCAAAAAAATGCTGGTCCTCACAAGGCCAGGCATTAGCCTATAAATTAGGATCAAGACTATGGGTTTTGTTAAAAGGTTAGGATGTTTATACTACACTGGCTTTGTGTAAATGGACAAGATTACATGTTTGCCGCCTCAATATGGTCAAAGACAAATTACAAAACATATTACATGGACCCCCGCTATTATACTGTTAGTTTAAGGAAAACCTCCAGTAAAGTATGATTTGAGCTAGGGTCCAGGAGGAATCAATGATATGATGTCCTCCTAAGTGACAAAAACAAGTTTAGTTTTTGTCACTTGCACCCGAAAGTGACACAGTGGAAGTAATTTGCTAAATATTTGGCTCTAGAAGTTTGTGAGATTATGAGTACTCACTGAGCTGACTGGTGAAGCAGTAGCTGGCCTGGTAACCACCGATAAGCTAGCAAGTTGTTGACATGCTTGAGCTAACCAGTCACAAAAGCTCTCCTTCTAACCTCTTTCTATTTATCTCAGCATTGGGCCGGTTTACTCCCCCTGACAGTTTGTCCCCAGGACTGTACATCATTTTATTGAATAAACAGAGGAAGAGGGGAAAAAGTCTCCAAGCTACGACCACTAACAGGACAACAACCATGGACTCCTGTTACCAAACTGTGTGTAAGTTTGGTGTCTGTTAGTCAGGTGTCAGTCTGAACTCAGACAGAAGAGGTTCATTTAAAAGTGGATGGTGGACACACACAGCTCTGTTCACTACAAGGTCAGCTCTGTCAGGACAGTTTGCTATTTGTCCTAATTCAAGTGTCAGCGTTCCCTAAAGTAGAACATGACACAAAATATTAACACAAATTCACATCACTTACACAAGTGCCTTAAGACCTGATGGTGAAATTATACCTTGTGCATGCATAAAGCTGCAAAGGTCGACGAGGGTATGTGTGAGAGTGTCCACATCGGCTCTGAAAATCATTATCTACTGATCTTAAAATTGAGCCAAAATGCTTCACAAAGTCTATTGCCAAGATGCATTTAAGAATTAAGAATTTAAGATTTAAACGTGTTTAAAGTGTTTTAGTGGTATTTTCCCTTTAATGAAGAGCTTGTGTAAATAAGTGTGTTAGTGTCAGTCGAGTGTGTTTGTGTATGTAAATGTTAACCAGCTGACTGGTGCGCCAGTATTCTGTTTATCGTTATGCAAAAAGGCTGCTCTCAGCAAGTCTGTGTGTGTGTGCAGTACTTTGATGGTATTAATGCGTACGTTCCTTCATCGTAGATAACATCTATCAAAACTTCAATGATGACTCTCTATGCTTTCATGTCTCAGTTTATCTTAGTAACATGCTCGGCCTCTCCTCGTTTGGTTTAACTATTTAAACTCTCCTCTTTACTCCTGTTGTTTACTCTGATATACAACTTACCTGTGAACTGTGTTGTCTTTTTATGATTTGGGAGGTAAAAGTAGTAATACAACAACGTAAAATACTGCATGGTAAAAGTATAGAAGTATTATCAGCAAAAATGTGCGTGTTCCAATCCACCTGTTAATCTGATGTCAAACAGGAAGCGCTTTGATGCGGATTGAGAAAACAGAATTTATTTAATTTCTCTCGTCAATTAATTCTGACATTTCACTCCTTGCATATCCTCTGAGAATGACAACAACACTGACCTCCTTTCCTGTAAGATATCATCTATATAAACGTGCGCTGATGACATTGCTGCCGGTCTGATTTGCGTACTGTCAGTCATGTCAGACCCGGACTGTGTTTGAGCCTGTGGTGTCACTGAAAACAGATGAGATCATAAAGCCATTTTAACTCTTTAATTTATGTTAACTCATCATATTTGCACGAGATATGTTGATAAACAGACATTTGAAAGATTTGTGACATCTTTTTCTTACCTGACAAAGCTCATTCGTCCTTCATGTCCTTAACAGCAATCAAAGGTCAAAGGAAGTCAAAAAAACTGCTGAGACTTCAGCTTGAGATCGGACTTTGTTACATCGGACTTTTGACTCGACTTAAATTTGTCTGAATTGATTGAGACTTAAGCACCGGTGGCAGACAATTATCAGCAACGGGGCACAGAGTTTTCACATGTGGGATCTCCTTTTCCGTGTTTTGTATTGCCAGCCAGCCAGACAGTGCCGTCAAATTGGATTTTGCAAAGGAAGCGAGCTTGATGCCCAGTGGCCATGATTTTATTATATGTATTTTGAACATATGGATTTGATTGCAAATTCATAGTTTTAGTTATTGATCAATGCATGTTTAGAATTTTTTTAGGTTTATTATAATACAATGAATTTTGAGAATTTGGGGAGCAAAAAGCTTATCAACATTAAGACTTAATGTGAATCAAAGGTTTATTAGCCGCTCAGGCAACAGCATTTCATTTTGGGAGTAGGTTTAGGAAAAGAGTCAATTTAAATTTTTTGTTTCCCCCAACCCGTTCTCACTCCCTAAATTGTCACAATTGGACGCATTGGTGAAGACCCATTGGCATCAGTTTGAAACTCACTGGGGAACCCCTTACTGTCATAGTTCAGTGCAGTGGGGGAAGCCCTGTAGCGTCAGTTTTTGACGGGTAGGTGTAGGACATTTAACAGAAAAGACAGAGTAAGGAGGTGGTTGGGGTGGACTGAGGGCCAGAAACCGGACTTTCAACTTTGTTTCCTGTGTGAAACAAAAAGTCAATTTTCTCAATGTAGGAAACTAAACAAGGTCAGTTTGAGAATTATCTTTGAGCTCCTCACCTGTGACAGAGATCCAGCTGGATGGAGACTCTCCACGACCGCTGATGTCACACTTGTAGAGGCCTTCATCAGACTTGGAAACATGGTGGATGGTCATGTGACCTGTAGGCTCAGTCCTGATGAGGGAGCCATCTTTATAGAAACCAGAAATGTTTTTATTTAAGTTACACAGGTCACTCAAGCTCTAGTTAAGTAATTCAAGTCATGTAATGTTATTTTGACCCAACCTACGTTCATGGCTCTCTATAGGAAAATTTACTTTCCCACTGTTTCACTGTCTTATCGACTGTTTTTCTGTCTCTCAGCGTGGAAGCTGTTTTAAAGAAACTCGATCCAGAGGACGGCGAGCAGATCATGGAGTATTTTAAAACTCACGCCATGCTGGCGAGAGAGAAAGCACGTAAGAGTCAGTAGTCCAGTAGTGGATTAAATTTCCAAGTTACAAACCAATGAAAGATCAATAAACGGATGCCATATTAATTAAAATCACAACAAAAGAAAACTCGTCACCTGTACATGTAGGACTGAACCAGAACCCTGGATCCTTTTTGTTTTGGAGCCAAGTCATTTAAATACAAGTCAGCAAGCAGATAAACTGCAGGAAACACTGAGAATACAAAAACAACAAGTAATATTTTCTTAGTTTCTTGCTTTTATTTAAGGCCCCCATGTCTGTAACTGAATGTGTAACAAAGAAAGTGCTGATTTAGGCTCTAATAAAATGCTGTGACATTGTGAAACAAATGAATGTTAAGCAGGTTATGCTCGTGAGGATGATTGAAATGAAACATTTTATTTTTTAGTGTTGCAGGCGTCGGTCAGAGATCAAAAGAAGCTGCTGGTGGAAAACAGCAAACTGAAGAAAGACATCGAGCAGCTGAAGAATCAGCTGCAGGAAAAACAGAGGCGACGCATCGGTACACAATTATACACCCTCTGTGACAGAATGCATTCCCTAAACCTGAAAATGTTAACCCTAAAACGTAATCTTAACCCTTAAAAATGGCCCTCTGAAGACATTAAAACGAAACAGTCCTGAGGTGTAAAGGTGTAAAACTCAACCCAGTCCTCACAAAGATAGAAACAGACACTCACTGACACACTTGGGCAACTGCAGATGTTTTTCCTCTGAGCTGCATCAATGTCGACTGTGGTCAGAGTGGATTATTTTAATTTAATAAGAACTTTATTAAGTCAAAACATTTTGGAGATTTACCCAAAAGATAAAAACAGCCACATTAATTTAAATTCATGCATTTTTTTGCTTTCAGTTTAAAAAAAATCTTCTCTCTTTTTTTTTCTTTCAGCCAAGGCTTTGTTCTCCACGCCTTCTCCAACCCGTAGCCCCGCCCCCACAACGCAACCTCCCTCCACCGCTGGAGCATCAGCTGCTGTTCCAACAAATCCTCCTCCCCCCTCCTCTTCCTCCTCACATGACCGGAGAGAGAGGCAGAGCAGGAGGAAGAGAGGAGAGAGGAAAGGTGAGATGAGGAAAGGAAGGAAGGAGGGTGGGAGGGCAGATAGAAAAATATGACTTTACCTCTCTCTCTCTTAGCTCGTCCCACCTGTGACTTGCTCTCCTTGGGGGTGGAGCCTCAGGTTGACGTGTCACGACTGGACCTGCGGGTTGGACGGATCCTCGGCGTCCGCCACCACCCACTGGCCGAGGAGCTGTCTGTCCAGGAAGTGGACGTAGGGGAAAGCGCCGCCCGAACTGTCGTCAGCAAACTGGGAGAGAAAACAGACCTAGAGGAGGTAACGCACGACTTTATTTTTTATAACGTTACAACTTTTATTTCTTATTTTATTTTTGTCAAAATAATATAATATATTTTAGTAATTCAATCTGTACTTTGAAGTATTAATTTAGAATCCTGCTTAAGTTCCCAAGATGGACAAGTGCAAGTCATATGTTTGTGACAAGTAATGTTCCCGGTCTTTATGCTGTATTGCAGAATCTTATGCATAAATTTATGTGTCGGCTGATTAATTCAAAACATTTGGTCATTTTAGCTTTAACTGAACCTATAAAAAGTGATACAAGGTGTTCCTCGTGTTTTTGGAAACATTGGAACAAATGTCTACATGTGTTATGTGTTATGATATGTGTTGTAGCTTTTGTACTGGGTATCTTGTATTGTCTTTATATGTATTTTATTGTCTTTTACTGATATGGACCTATGCGTCTAAAATAAAGTTGATCGATTAAGACTGTTGTCAGATTTGATTATTTAAATATTACTTTATACTCACAATACTATACTACTTTATTGTTGAAATATTACAACTCTATTCTCACATTAGTGCGAGTTTATTCTCAAACTACTCTAAACATTTCAGCTTTTATCTTTCATTTACTCTTTGTTCTCACAATAGTACAACCATATTCTTGAGACATTAGCCTACTTTTATTTCTCATCATATTACGACTTTGGTTCTTAAATATTCTGACTTTGTTTTCCAGTTTTTACAATGTTAATGTTGACATATTAAGACATTAATCTTGAAATATTACAACTTTATTCTCTCGCTCTCTCTCTCTCTATATATATATATTTAAAATTCTCAGTTTTTTCCTACTGAAATTTCTTCTTTGAATTCTTATTTTTCTAATTTCTGTTTATTCTTTCCTTTCAGTTTAATCCACCCTTTATCTCATTCCTTCTTTCTTTTGTCTTTATTAAATTTTAACAAAAGTATTTCACCTCTCTCTCTTCGCAGCTCCAGGGCGGTCTAGCTGTCTTGTTATGCAATGTCAAGGCCTGTAAGCTGAAGGGCGTGGTCTCTCAGGCCCGCCTCCTATGTTGCTCCGCCCCTGATGACAGCACTGAGCTGCTGGTACCGCCCACAGGCTCCACCCCCGGAGACAGAGTTACCTTCCTCAACTACCCCGGTAATCATGGTCACAAAGATAATAAAACAATAAAAATAATCACTGAAGATCGTGAATAAATTAAACAACATAAAAAAAATCAGTTTAATGATTATTAAGCTAACAGCAAATAGCAAATTTTTATTTGCGTCTTGGAATTACAAATGGCCCCCACGATTATTAGTGCCTAATCAGAAATAAAAGTGGCACATTCATTTGCTCTCACACTGTAGAAATGTTAGCTTACATTGTAATGCGTTGTTAGCAAGCTACTAACACGTTATCTAACTGTTAACCAGTCACAACAGCTAGTCAAGCTAACTTACGGTTATTTTGCCTTAACCAGTAGTGACTGTATCTATCTGGTGTTGTTTTAAGTCAAGGGGTTCATGTTATCATTTGTCACGTCAATCAATGAAACATGGAAGCTGTTATTTCTGTACACTCGCAAGGTCTCCTTTTTCAGGAAGATGACGGCTTCATCCATCCTCACCAGTAAAACAGCCGTGTAGGGTGATTATTATGCAGCTTGTTCAACCCGTTCTTCCTCCCCAACTCATCACGTATGTACACGAGGTCAAGACACATCGGCATCAGTTTGTAACGCACAGGGGATCCCTATAGCGTCGCAGTTCAACGCAGTGGGGGAAGCCCTGTAGCATCGTTTTTTGACTGTAAAGGCAGGAATATGATATTTAACAGAAAAGACTGAGTAAGAAGGTGGTTGGGGTGGATGTAGGGCCAGAACCCGCACTTTGAACCAGGAGACCGGTGTGAAACAAAAAGTCAACATTATATATTTTTATTTAAGTTACGTGAGTTGCGTAAAATGACGTGACGTAAGTTAACTTACGTGTTAACTGACGTACGTAGTTATTTTAAGCCAAACCACAACCTCAACCTAACCTAACTTTAACCAAGTACTTTTGTGGCTAAACCTAACCAAATTGCAAAGTTTCACAACTTCAATAATGTGCCTTTTCAACATGGAGCCTTAAACGTCTAAAAATGACGCTAAAGGGGTACCCAGGGCATTAAAAGGCAATGCCAAAGGGCCTTGACCAAGCAACCACTAGTGGCTGTATGACGGGAGCAAAAGAGGAATTCAGATAAAGTGTTTTTAAATAAAGTCCCTGTAAGGAGGTAGGATGTGAAGGTGAATGGGTCAAACCTGGGACTTTCACACAGGAGAAATGCGTTCAAGTTCCCAGTGAAACCAAGTAAATGTTTAGTTATTTTGAGTTCTAAGTATAGCATTACTGATTTCTGTCACGTCCGTCACGAGACTTACATAACTTTCCTTACTTTAACCTGGACCACAATATTTTCCTAAACCCAATGAAGTGGTTTTGTTGCCTAAACCTAACCAACCTTTTTTACAATGTTTTCCACTTGTTAAACTTCACGTGACTTAGGTACTTACGTAACATACTTAAGGTCCGATAAGCCTGTCGCTGGACTGAAACAGGAAAAACTCTTGTATGTCGTTTTGGAACACTTGACGATCGACCTGTGTTGTTTAGGTAGGAGGACGTGTTGGACGACTCAGATGTCACCTACAACTGGATGAAAGTGGCTTTTGGGATTTTCCGGGTAATCACTCACCAACTCTCTGTTTATCTCGCTCTCTGTGTGTTCAGGTGACCCGGACAGAGAGCTGCAGTCCAAGCAGAGGGTTTGGGAGCTCCTTCAGCCCGACCTGCAGGTCGACAGCCGGGGCGTGGCGAACTATAAAGGCTGCGGGTTTGAGGTGAAGGGGAAGGGGCTGTGCAGGGCCCCCTCCCTCACCAACTGCACCATCAGATAGACACAGCGAGGGGCCATCGCACAGGACATGCCGAAGACATAATGTGCACCAGTGTACTTTTATTGTGAAAATCATGCTCTGCTGTGGCTAAGCAACCACAAAAATCAGCTGCTGACAAACACTTAGCTAGTTAGTAGTTGTTATCTTACAGTTGCATCGCTGTTGTTTATTGATTAAAAGCTCAGTTGATCATAAGTTTCTTCGAGTGTTCTTGATCTCTGCTTTCAGCTGATTGGACAGCAGAAAACAATCTGTGATGACATGGTATTTATGAATCTTGTGATTACTACTAAATTAAATGGTGATAGATCCTTTAAATAGGTGTCAATACCAAATGAGTAATGTTTGATAAGCCTGATCCTTCAGCACTGGAACAATTAATAATAAATCAATACGTAATCGATTACATGAATACATCGATTCGCATTGAAATGTTGCTGCCTCCGATGTTAGCAGGGATTCCTCCGGACAAGCTGCAGATACAAGATCTCGACTTCATGCATCACGCACCTGGGGGTGTCTACTATACACGCAAATTCGCCGTTTTGCGCACAATAGACACGGTTTTTCCAAAGCGTGCATATGTGACGCCTGAGCATGAGAACAGGCTGGATGTCCACGAATACGTGAAGCGAAAGTATCCCGGACCACTTTGTTCAGACGGCAGCGCCGCAAATCCTGCTTCTCCTGTCTCCACACAAACAGCACGAGCACACGTAGTCCGTTAAAATGTATTTATCGCCTTCATGTTAAAAGTAATTTCTGCCCCGCTGCTGTCATGGTAACGTAACGTTACATGTTACACGTGTCATCTAACGTTCAGCCGTTTCATATTTTCTGTTTATTCAATGGCCACGTATGAGCGAGAAAACCACACTGATGCAGAAATACATCTGACTATCATACCGCATTACTCAATATTGAAATAAGTCCATGTCAGTAACATTTAAAGTTTTAAGTAAAGAAGCCAAATTAATGTCTGTTATTGTTATTATCACAACACATCAGTGACGTGGAATATTATTGATTAGACATGCTTTGATATTTATTTTGGATAAATTGGTACGTTAATCGGTAATTTTTTTTTCTTTATAATACACAAAATGTGTTGTGAGATTAATCGACTAATCAAAAAATAATCGTTATATTAATCGATTTAAAAAATAATCGTTATGTACAGCCCTAGTTCATGGCATTGCTCAGGGGCACCTTTGGCAGTGATCCATGCTGGACTTGAATCTGTGACTCTCCGGTTACCAAGCCAAGCCCCCACAGACTGAGCTCATGTTGCACAATTAGGCTACGTTCAGACTGCAGCCCAAAGTGACCCAAATCCGATTTCTTTGCTCATATGTGACTCAGATCTGATCTTCCAAGTCACATGGAATCTGATCTTTTCCAGTTCGGAGAGGACAAGCTAACCGGAGCTAACCTGTGTTGCTCCCTGATTACTTCTGTAGCCTGCAACAGGGTGCCGCGTGTGACACCGAGACTTATTTTCTGCGCATGCGGGTCACTTTCAGGCTGCGGACAGTTCACAATGAAGTCTGATATGGGCCACATTAAGGCCTGCAGTCCAAATGCAGCCTGTGTGATCACAAACTTAAAGGGAAATAAATTTCTCACCAGTTATCAACGCAAGTGAAAGAAAAGATTATTACGATATTTTGGTCTTGCAATATTGTATTTTTATTGCTCCATGACAAATAACACATTTTTAAAGGTTTAGTGTGTAAGTTTTAGTGGCATCTAGTGGTGAGGATTGTGAATTGCAATGAACAGCTCAGTCATCGCTCACCCCTCCATTTCCAAGCAAGCATGAGAAGCCACGGTGGCCGACACACTCTGCTAAATGATACGTCTGGTCCTCCATTTGTCCAAATTTCACTTTTCTTCCCACTTCTAATAAACCAGTCGACTACTACTATTACTACTACTTCTTCCTTCGTCTTTGTATGTATTCAACATAGTGATGAAACACTCTCTGTAGAGCAGTTTGTCTGTTTGGGATACTGTAGAAACATGGTGGTGCAACATGGCAAAGTCCATGTAAGAGGACCTGCAGTGTATGTAGATAGAAATGACTCATTTTAAGGTACTTAAAACATATCGGTTCATTATGTAAGGTCTTTATACTGCACTAAAAACATAGTTACATTGCATTTCTGTCAATAGATCCTTAACAGGTAGATTCTGACAGGTATGTTTTTCTGTTGTGTGGCCTTTTTTGACACAGCCGTAATGAAAGAAAAAAGCAGAGAAATTTAAAATCTTAGATTATATTCTTCTGTGTCCAATATATAGAAATAAAATTATTTTAGTTTACTTAATCTATGAATTATATGAATTGAATTGTATTTCCCTTTAGCTTTGGCAATACTGTTGTATTAACATTCATGCCAATGAAGCAAATTTCATTTCGACCTGACTTCTTTTCTCAGTGAGATGGAAGAATTTAGAAAGTTGCGTGGTGCTGCAGAGAGCCCCCAGCTGCAGTAGTGCATGGATCACGCGTAAAATTCATCCAGCCAAAGGGAACAATCACCAACTGTTCACAGCAAGGTGTTCATAATAGCAACACAACCCATCGTCGGTATCAGAGAGGGAATGGGGCGTCGAGGTGTACAGGGAGAGGAGATTGTGGAGCGACCGGGCATGGTGCGGACGGTCTGTGATTGTTCCCTCTGGATGGATGAAGCTCAATCTGCTGGCATTTCCTCGTGTCTGGGTCATTCCAGCGTACTGTAGCTGTTTCTGCTGGGATTTCCCAAAACAGTTTTTCAGGTGTGCTGCTCCAAGTAGTACTTAGTGCAATTTCAGGCAGGATGGGCAGGTACATACGATTTCCACATACTCGGGGCGCACTGAATGAAACAAACCAAGTTTTTATGCAGTGGCTGCTTTTACTCCCGACTCTCTACGGCGGAAAACATACATGTGCAATATTTGAGAATGCACACGCAATTTAGTACTGTTTATTCAGGGTTATAGTAAATCCGGCCCTATGTGTTGTGTTTACTGCCACTGAAGAGGAATAAATCTTGTTCATGTACAGCATCGTCTTTTGGTGGCCCACTTATCAGGTTTGCTAATGCTGAAGCAACCAGAAGCTACATGTGTGAGACAGTTGGCCAGAGTTGTGCTTTTCATATTGTTTGAGTTTTGTTGGGATAATCATTAAATACCAACATGAGCAAAACAAATGTGTGTAGTTCCTGTTTAAACAGTCAGAGTGAGACCTCTGTCCTGACTGTCAGAGCTCTGTGATGGTTCCTGGCTGACAGGCCGAGCAGTCGGTCTCTCAACGGTCGTCCTCTGATTGACGGCCAATCACAGGTATTGTCCAAGAACGAGACTCCTCCTTCCACATCTTCAGCCAGAGCCCTCAGCCAATCACTAGTCTGTGTTAGGAAAACTGGAGCGCGAAGCCCCGCCTCCTTCAGGTGGTCAGCGTGCGTGAGAACAAGTAAAGCGTGACGCCGCCATTCTGGACCGAAGAGAGTCTGAACATCAACACAAAATACACAAAATCACCCAAACAAACAACACACATTACATTGTGGAGGTGTGTGTGTGTGTGTGTACCTCCATGTGATCCTCCAGGTGTTTGGTGCCGTGCGGCAGGTCAGCTCTCACAACCAGCACAAGCACGTGCACGCCCTCGGGGCAGAGTTTGTGCACGTCCTGTGGGCGGGGCAACAGAGGCGGCGTGTCAATCACTCTCAGCATGAGGTCAGACTCCGCCCCCTGCCTTCTGAAATACTTCTGGAAATTTCGGCTGAGGAGCTGGAAGTCCTTCGTTACAGAAAGGCCAGAAATGCAGAGGCCTGTTTGGAATTCCTCTCCACCTGCCCAGCAGAGGAATTTATCAATAAATAATTTTAATTGTGGATTATTTTTTTTACCTGAAAGTTAAACAGGATCATTTCCACCAGCTAAAAGAAAAACACCTATGAAAAGAAAAATTGTAGGTCAAAATAACGAGAGAATAAATCTATTTTTTAAATTAAGATGGAGAATCTAAATTTTTAGTTTTTGACCTTAGGAGTACTCACAGGTCTAGCTGGCTAACTGTAAGGGCTAACAGGCTAGCAGGTACTGTTTACGTCCCTCTGACATTTTGTTCTCAGGATTGTTCATTTCATTCAATAACACAGTGTTAGTGTGTTAGCTCAGTTTTAAATGCTGCCGTAACCTTTAGTAAGTCACAATTTAAGTTAAATATGTGAAGCTGGAATTTACAAGTTCACAGTTGTAAATTGTAACTGTCTGTACGCCCCCTTAATTTGGATTTGCGACTCGGAAAGTCAGGAGCACCGCACTATCCCCGACTTGGTGATCCAAGAAGGCTGCTCCATGTATCAACAGTTAGTGAAAGCTGGTGTTTATACTGTCTATTAGTACTTCTGTGTATTTGTGTCTCACATGAATTTTTGAAATAAACTAGAAATAAAATATGTAAAAAGTATTGGTATCGGTATTGGCAGTACCAGCCTGGGTATTACTTGGTATTGGAACGAATAGGAATTAAGTGGTATCGCACATCACTACTGGTTACCAGCTGAAATAGCTTTGTTTTGGAACACATTACACCTTGCTTGTCAGGACCCGCCCTACTCTGCTTCTGATTGGCTAGTAGTCCTTACCTACCTAGGTACTGCACACGTGAAAGATTAAATAGAAGTGAGATGCTTCACTTGGTAGCTAAAACTGATCCTTCAACACGCAGGGTGAAAAGAGGTGCCTCAGCAATGTGCAGTGTGGTATTTTTTTGAAAATGCAACCATGTAAACCTGTTCCTATCCTATAAACCCCTAAATAAAATTATGAACCTGAAAATGAGCATAAAATACATTTTTCTTCTTGATGACCTTCCACAGAAAGCTAACGTGACGACTCTAAAAGTAAATCTGTAAAGCTACTGACCAATCAGAGCATTCCCCACAGAGCTCCTCCCACTCTGCCTGTCGCCCAGCAACAGCACATTCAGTGCCAGCACATTACGCTCGCCACCACTGAGGATTCTGAAAGGGCTGTTGCCACGCCAACTCTGTTTCATGCCGACGGCCATCTCAGGATATGTTGAACCTACCTTTTAAAATAAACAACAAACAACAACATAAACACAGCTTCTAGTGATTGCAGAGTAAATACTTTGCATCCTGAATGCATCCCTTTAGCATATTAAAACTTCTGGGTAAGTTGGCAAAATAATGCAAATTCCCTAGAAAGCAAACTATCGCTTTAAATGTTTTGCAATCTACAATAAAATTTGTTATAGGTGACTTATTGCTAAAATTTTGCTAAAATTATTTCATTTAAATCTAAAGGTTTTAACCTGAGAATCACAAGCAGCTTAAAATAGCTATTCTATCAGTAAATCACAACTTTCTTTCTTTAAATCAGTTTTTTCAGTGTGTGTGTGACTCAATTTCACCTAAAACTTACCTTAACCTGACTTTATAGGTGTCTCATAATGATCCAATATAACAGTCGATGAACCTGCTACTAGTCACTTTAGGAATCCATATTTTATTTACGTACAAAACATCTAAAGTCTTAACAGAATTAACAGAATTTGCAAGAGTGAGTCTTACCTGCTTTACCGAACCAGGAGAGGCAAACGCAGACACATTTCCTGAACAGATATGGGAGGTTGTATGTGGTTACTGGTTAATTAATAACCACTCCAGCCCATATGTAGTTTTATGAGGTTGTAAAACTGACAAACATCCCTGCAATTTAGATTTCAAGGGACACCTTGACACCTATTTCTATTTAAGGAAAGAATGTGAATTCTTCTTTCACCAAAGCCTGAAACTAACTGGATTTTTACAGTAAAACCAGGATAAACATACTGGTCCAACCCATTCTCACTCCCAGTGCTTGGAGTAGAAAAAAATAGGTGGCAGTACTCACAAGAACAAGATGAGAAGATATTTTAACTGTTTTTTTTAATTTATAAATATTCAATGCTGACATACATCAGTGAGGAGGTCTGGGGGTCCTCCCCCAGAAGACTTTAAGCATCAAACACTTAATTTCCTGCATTCTGGAGACATTTTCTGCACCAATTTATGGTGGAAATATATATAAATATAAATATTTATATGAAGGGAAACAAAATTAAGGTGGCAGGTGACAATTCAAAATATAAAAATATAATGGAGTACAGTGCAGTAATCAGCTTTTGGACAATGCACATTTGTTTCTTCTATATTTCACTTGCATTGCATGTTTTCTTATTGTGCATTGTTTCATTTGTTAATTAACATTTCTTGTTGCAAGCATAGACTGTATATAAAAAGGTTGCAAGCTGTTTTTCAGAACATTTTTAACAAGAGCTTTTTCTGATTCCATATCTGTCAATATTTTTAAATGGCCCGCCCCATCCAGGCTGTGATTGGTCGGTTCACAGAAAGTGACATTGCCGACCTACATTCAGCACACGGCTGCATGAAAGTCACCTGAGCTTCTCTTCTCCCTTGTTTCTCTCCACTGACAGAGGAGTGTCACGTAGCAACACGATATGGAGAAGGCGAGGAGAGCACTCCCGACTCATCACGTATTGATGCTTAGTCAAGGCCCATTGGCGTCACTTTTTAACGCCCCGGGTACCCCTTAAGCATCGAGTTTAGACATTTAAGGCTCTGGTTAGACTTTCAAATTAAAACATTAGTGTTTCGAAACATCGCCATCTCGAAACAGCACATTATTAAAGTCGTGAAACGTTGCAATTTGGTTAGTTTAAGCAAAAAAAGTACTTTGTTGGGTTTAGGTAACTAAACTACTTGGTTAAGGTTCGGAAAACATCATGGCTTGGGTTAAAATAACTACATACGTCAGTTAAGAAATAAGTTACAAACGTCACTTGCGTAACTTAAGCAATTTACGTAACTTGACTAACTGAAATAAAAATATTCAATGTTGACTTTTTGTTTCTCAAGGGACACGAACCCCGGCCTCCTGGTTCAAAGTCGGGCTTCTTAAGCAATTTACGTAACTTGCCTAACTGAAATAAAAATATTCAATGTTGACTTTTTGTTTCTCAAGGGACACGAACCCCGGCCTCCTGGTTCAAAGTCGGGCTTCTGGCCCGCCATCCACCCCAACCACGTCCTTACTCAGTCTTTTCTGTCAAATATCAAATACCTGCCTTTACTGTCAAAGACTGACGCTACAGGGATTCCCCCACTTCGTTGAACTATGACACCATGAGGGATCCCCAGTGCGTTACAAACTGCTGTCGCTGGGTCTTGACCATGCGTCCACATGTGAAGAGTTGGCTGGTCTGAACCTGTTGTCGACCCTCAGTGTGAACCAGAGATGCTCACAAGTCTTTGAGCTAGAGTCCAAGTCAAGTCTCAAGTCTTTGAGCTAGAGTCCAAGTCAAGTCTCAAGTCTCTCGTGGTTATTACGAATGCTGTTATTACAATCCAGGTTGCTAATAAAACTGCATAGCTATAAGGAATTCTGTAACTGCAACCTGTTTTTCATTTACAGAGCACAACCATTTAATGTGAAATGCAATTAATGACAGCTTATTAAATACTGTAAGTCAACACACTCCCCAGACTCTTAAACCCAGTGTAACGTTAACTAAATAAAACTGTGACTTGCATAATCAACAATAAACCTGTAACCTGTTTTTAACTTACAGAGCACAACCATGTAGCCTAATGTACAATGCGTCTACAATTATAGACAGCTTATAAACTACTGTAAGTCAACAAACCCTGTTGACTCTCAAACCCAGTGTAAGTTATAACTAAATAAAACTGTAAAGTTACATGGTCAACAATAAAGCTGTGACCTTTTTCTAGCCAACGGCAATAATTAAGGTGATGGCAGCCAGCGGGACGTAAATAATTACATTAATTGACCACCACAAGTTTGGCAAGTAAACAAAGCAAGAAGCAAGCTAACGTTAGATGGCCGATGCTGAGCTAAATATGTTTACTCACCACAGGTTACTAACCTATCTTGCGTTCAGCGCTTCTTTGTTTGGGTCTTGTTTTATGAAGTTTTAAAGCCAAAGTTTATGATGAATGGCGGAGCAGCTGCCGGTGTTTGTTGTCCTCTCTCACGTGCGGCCGCGTGCAGCAAATGTTACGTGTTACGTAGGCAGGTTATAGGTAACGGAGGGAGGGAATAACAGGCTTAGACTGTCTTTTAGTACAACCAAACTCTGAACAAGAAACTTTTAGTTGACTAAAATGTTACAATTAACGTTCATGAACAGGAAACACACTGCGAAAGGGTCAAAGCTCCTATAGGCCTTTCAGACACAAAGCAACAACGGTACAGATGCGTTTTGAAACCCTTTATTTTTAATGGCTTGTGACGTGCCAGTGCAGTGCGGGTGTGTTGATGTGTCAACCAAAGCGCAGTGCACTGCTTGGCAAGCCGCAGTCAAAGTTCAACCTAGTTGTACCACTGCACTGACGGCCAGCGCAGCACAAAGTGTTTGTATCTGAAAGGGCCTTTAGACGAAAACACAGCACCCAAAAACATGTTCACAGTGCGGTGAATACGACTCTCCTCTTGCGTGGTTTACAGGTCACTGTGGTAGTGACATGTCAATCTCAAGGTAGTCCCGCCATAAAGCATACTTTGCTTTATTGTTAATTTTCCATATTTTACTAAATGAATATCACGCTGTGTTGAAGAAGACTTGAAACTATTGACTTAGGAAAGTGTTTAGTGAGGTAATTAATCAAGTGAAAAGTAGGGTCATTTTGACATTTTGGACTTCTTGCTGCAACCAGTCAAGTCGTCCCCTGCTGGCCATTAGACAGACTGCGAGTTTAAGGCACTTAAGGCGCATTGGCTCTTATTTTCAGACCTGGAGGTTGCAGCTCGGTCCGACCCTGTGGAGGAGAGAGCTGTGGTCTACCCTCAGTGTGAATGTGAAGCAGCTCTGTCATTGTTCCCTGAGTAAAATAAAGTTTGAGAATGAACTGTTTGTGCCTCAAGCTGCCGCAGAGAGAAACATCATCAACAACAACAACATCATCTGCTCACAGTTTATCCTGACTGAGTCTGAAACCACAGAGATAAGATAATCTGAAGCAGACTGCACACCCACACATGCATTTTCATCCGCAGCACGTGGATGTCTTTTCTGTTATGTCCGTATGTCAATGCCTCCTATTTGTGTATCAAACTACCAACGTTGACATTTTGCCTTCTCCAGTCACCTAACATAATAGGCTACTAAGCAACAGGCAGCGTTGACTGTTTTTTTCGGCCTCTAGGTGGCAGAACAACCAGCTGAAAACACATCAATGGCTGAGAGCAGAAAGCTGTTTTACTTTACCGTTTTAATCATATTATCATCAGAACAACAGGGAAAACTGTGTGTGTGAGAAGCTAAGCTGTGACATCAAGGAAACAGGGAAACACTGATGGCAAAGTGACGATAATGCAGATAGGTGTGCGTGTGTATCAAGGACCTTTACTGAACACAACGCAATGGGGAAGCTGGGGAACACGGACTGAAGAGCGACGCAAACATGTAAAAGACAGTGTGTGTGTTATCTTTATAACAACCATGTCCAAACTGAGGACAGTGATGCCCACCAGCTACCAACCACAAAATAGGGAGCATGCTCACACAAAATCACGTTACTGTCCTCTCTCTCGATGTCAATGAGACGCCAGAATATTGAAATCGATTCTCAGAAGTTTTGAAGGTTTTGGGAAACAATGAAATCAACATACGTGATGTTTTAAAACCTTTCCTCACAAGGATTCAAATATCTAATCAGAATCAGAATCTCTTTTATTGGTCAGGTATGCGTACACATGTGAGGAATTTGCCTCTGGTCCTACATTAATCTCAACTGTGTGCAGATACATGAACATATGAACAGCAATATTTGTGTTTTAAAAAAAGCTAAAATTAAAAATAGATAGCAAATAGTACATAGGGAGGTGAAGTAGTTTGAGTCGCAGGGTTGTTGCACAGGGATTGTTCCTGACACTGTGTGTCTGGAGTCAGCTGTTCTTCAGAGTGATGGCCTGTGGGTAGAAAGTGTTCCTGAGTCTGTTGGTTTTGGCCTACTAGAGGGGAGAAGCTGGAACGAGTTGTGAGGAGGGCTGGAAAGGATCTACATGCAATGATGTTCTCATTTCCTGGCTCTGGATATGTATAAGTCCTGAATAGAGTCTAAAATGACTTGTGTTTACCGTGGTGGCTGTTGTTGCAGGTGTCAGGTATTACACTCCAAAAGTGTCCATACTTATGACGTTTAATATGATAACAGTAGCAGATACCGTTGAAAGTCGTAGTATTTTTTTGTGAACAAGTAATTATATGTGTAACCTAACTTCAATAACAACATTCAACGCAGATTTTTTGTTTCACATGGTCCTGTTTCTGGCCCACCCGTCACCCCCAACCACTAACTAAGACTATTATGTTAAATATCCTACGCTTACCTATAACTCTGAACTCTAAGTGACGCTAGAGGCCTTCCCCCAGTGCGTTAAAGTATGACGCTAAGGTGCGCCCAGTGCGATACAAACTCCAAAGTTTTTTGACGACTTGGGACAGGTTGCTCATATCAGGCAAAACCCATGGGTCATT